AAATGTTTTTCCCTATACACACATACCTTTCCTCTTAAAGGATGTACTTTATGGCTTCTCTGGGGCATATCAGAATTGCCAGCATCACTACTCTTGTGTTTTAGGGCCATCATTAAGTATAATAAGGGTCATTTGGACATAGCACCGCGATACCACGACAGTCGATCTGATAACCGAGATGGCTCCTTAGTGACTAATGGGTAGAGAGTCTACAGCATGGACACGCTGGACGAAGGGATGATTCATGTTTTGGGTGGGCCAGAGATTTCATCACGCTACTCAGAACAGCGTGCAATTTAAAACTTATGAATTGTTTATTTATGGAATTTTTCATTTAATATTTTTGGATCATGGTTGACTGCAGGTAACAGATACTGTGGATAAGGGGTACTGCTTTAGAGGAAGTGATTAATAATCGTTGGTTGAATTAATCAGTAAATGGCTGATTCAGATTCCCCACCTCCCTCTCCATTGGCACCAGCCTCTCTAGATGTTTCTCTATGGCAGGGGTGGGGAACCATTTTTCTGCTAAGGGCCATTTGGATATTTATATAACACCATTTGCAGGCCATACAAAATTATCAACTTAAAAATTAGCCTGCTATACTTGGTCAAACATTTAATTAACTCACCCCTAATACCTTGGCAGGGCCAGACCAAATGATTCCACGGGCCCGATGTTCCCCAACCCTGCTATGGGGTCACTGGGCAGGGATCCTGTAGAGTGGACGGGGAAGGTCTGTATCTATGGTGGGATTTGCCCCTCCCAAATAGCTGATTATATAGGTGGTTATGTCTCTACTGCTCCTCATTTTAATTGGATTAGGTTATCCTCTGAAAGGTGAAAACACTACATACCATTCTCACAAGAAGTTAGGTAGTGTTAGGGTAGAAGGAATCTTAGAGGTTCTAGGGTCTATCCCTCTCATTTTGCAGGTGAGAAACCAGGCCTTGGTTGGAAAGATTTGCCAAGCTCTCACAATCAGTTAATGGCTGAAGAGGACACTTTGCTTTTGTCTACCTTAGCCCCTTTGGGGAACCACCCCTTCCCCTCCTGAGTCCTAGCATTTTAGGTGGTGCTGACTTCACTTCCAAATGCAAGATGAGCATGTGAACTATGTCTAACCAATCAGAGCATCAGGGCCTGTGTTCCTAGGAGGCCAATCAAAGCTAACGAGACTTGCCCAGCTGGTGTGGCTCAATGGATTGAGCATCATCCCATGCACCAAGAGGTCACTGGTTTGATTCCTGGTAAGGCCATATGCCTGGGTTGGGAGCTCCATCCCTAGTAAGGGGCATGCAAGAGGCAGTTGATTATTGTTTCTCTCTCATCATCTATGTTTGTATCTCTCTTTCCCTCTTACTTCCTCTCTCTAAAATCAATAAAAACATATTTTAAAAAAAGCTAATGAGACTTGTTTCAGGATGTTGGAATAGAGAAGTTCATATGTGCTATTTGGGTTGCTGAGAGGATAGGACTGTTGGCAGCCATCTCGTCACCCTGGGTGGAGAGCCAAGGAAAGCAGTGCCAAGAGATGGAGAGAGTGAGTCTATCCCAATGTCATCATTGGAGCTGCTGATACAGCTGTGTCTGATCCCTGACCACCGTAGGAACTCATTCATTCCTGGATTCTTTTGTTTGTTTTTTGCTTAAGTCCGATTCTGTCACTTTCAACTAATTAACCTGTTAATATAATGTTAGAACTAGAACCAGGCCTCTTAACTGCCAAATGCAGTGCTCTTTCAACTAAACCACACAGGGCATTCCTCTGATTAACCTGATGCCACCCATTGTCACAGCAAGCGGAACTGGGAGAGAATGGAGACAAGGGGGGGTGGGGTATGTGCTTCCAGAGGGAAACCCTGGGGACCAGTGCAGGCATGAGGTCACTGGGGTGATGGGAGGGGTTAGGACTGAAGTAAACAAGAGAGTACATTAAAACCAAAATTTGCCTGCTTCCCTGATTTGACTCTGGCAGTCTAATGAATAAAGACTGGTGAGTGAGGGTGGGGCTATACATGTGACTAGATGTAGATTCAGCTGGACTTTTCTTCTAGATGAATGATAACACCTTCTGGCCTGGACCTGGGAAAATTGCTGGGGTACAGACTGGAAAACTGAGGACAAAAGTCAAGACATTTGGTTCTAACGTCTCATGACTCACCTAATGTGTGGGAAAGTATGCTGAAGCATAGCCACGGCCACAATGAATAAACATTCATCATATTCAGCACTGCTCACGCAGCTTTGCGGGGGCCATGTCCATTGATGGGGGTCCAGGGAAACAATGGCATCACTGAGATATGCTAATGGGAGTGCTTCATGCTTCGGGCATAATTTGGTTTCTAGTCTTCATCACAATGCCCAGGAAGCATGAACTGAAACTGAGGCCTGTCCCTAGTGGGAACGCCATTCTGCCCACACACCAGGATGGGATTTTTAGAGGTCAGCTTCCTCTCAGTTCTCCATTCATAAGGAGTTCAAAAACAAGCAACACTAACTGTGCTGTAAGAAACCAGGATGGTGGTTACATTAGGGGGTGGGGTAGCGAGTGACTTAGAGAATTTGAGAAGGGTTCCTAGAGTGTTGGGTTCTTAAAGTGTGGGCTGGTTATGTGGAGATGCTCACTGTGAAAATGTACTTAGCTATGTGCTTATGAGTGGTATACTCTTCTATATGTGCCTTATTTCAATAAAAAACATGACATATGTACAATGCTGTCATTGTAGGCAATCATTTGGCATCGTTGAGGTCTTAGAAACAAAATGAAAGGGGGGGGGGCACTGAATTATGGGATAATACTATTCTGTTATAAGGCTAGTATACAGATGATCCAGAATATATTAACTGTGAAATATATAACCATCAAAATGAAAATATATTTAAAAAATATAGCAGATTGCTCACTATCCTCCAGGGGTCTAGGACACTGGTTGTAAAAACTGAAATATTATGGTTCCTCAGAATCATTGTGTAAATGGATCTCAAATCTATTCATATCTCCCCACTTCCATTGCTCACACTCTAGTTCAGTTCACCAGCGACTCTGGCCTGGACCTTGGCAATCACCTCCCTCTCTTGCCTAATGTATGATCCACTGCCCACAAAGTAGAAGACTAGGTTCAAAATATGGCTCGAATTACTCCCCAACCTGAAGTCCTTCAAAGACTTCCTAATAGTCTTTGTCTTAAAGTCCAGATCCCTTTCCATGGCCCACTATACTCAGCATTGGCTGGTCCCTCCTGCCTCTCTGACCAACCTCCCACCACTCTCCCCCCAGCTCACCAGTTTCCAGTCCCACTGGACTCTTTTTATTCTTTCAACACCCCAGGCTTGTCCGCACCTTGAATCTTTACATATGCATTTCTGCCTGAACTAGGGGTCTTCCAGATCTTTGGATTGCTGGCTCCCCCTCAGCTTGTAGGTCTCAGTTCAAATGTCATTTCCTCAAGTAGCTTTTCCCAGCCACTCTTTATCACATTGATACTGTTGTAATAACCTGATTATTATTTAACAGAAAAGAAGTGAAAGGAAAGACTAGGTATAGGCATGTCATTTATACCACTTTGCCAAAAAGCTACATTTAACATTCTCCAAGTCTATTCCCTACTGATTGATGGGGAAGGGAGGAGACAAAGGCAGTTAAGATGCATGCCTAGTAACGTCTGAGTGACATGGGAGGCTAATTGCCTGTCAGTCACACCTGAAAATGAGTTAGCGGCAGGGTGGGTGAAATCTAAATATATAAACTTCCAAACAGAGGAAGTTCACTCTCTCTTGGCTCCAGGGTGCTGGGCCCTCTTGGGACTCCTCTGCAGGGGGCTGCCCTCCCCTGTGCTCGCCTGGCGCTTGGCCATGTTGGACTCCACACATGAACTGGTGGGCTTGAATCTGGTCTGAATGCTGAACCACACCCAGCTGCAACATGGAACAGAAGCTCTGGACACTGACCCTGTTTCTGACTTTGCTGAACTCCCAGCTGCCCCCTTTCCAGGACTGGCTTACGGGGCAGGAGACTTTGGAACCCAAGAGATGTCACTTTACACAAATAAAGTCTCCTTCCACATTCCATCCTTCCGTGTGAATCTTAGAAAGTTCATTTTCTGAAGATATCACAAGGACCTTATTCCCACTCGTGTCTGGGAAGTCTGTCCCTTTAATCCTTCCGGCATCAGCATCACCTTACTTTCTTTTGTTCATAGTACTCAAGCTATTTTGTTTCTGTAATTATTTATCAGAATATAGGCCCCATGATGAAGGATTTGTCTGTCTTCTTCATCACTTATATCGGTAAGTGTCCCAGTAAGCAGCAAATGGCATACTCAAAAGAGTTTAACTGAAAGGAATTTAGCAAAAAGACCATGTACAGAAATGTGGGCGGAGTGAAGAAAATCAATAAGGCATGGCTAGGCCCCAGGGAAAGCCACTCCCACCCCAGGCCTGATGGGGCAAGAGGAGAGAGCTGTGTCCCACACTCAGTGAGAGCTGTGCTGTGGAAGAAGGACTGTGCCTACACCTGTGACAAGTCAGGGAGGAAGTGGAGAGGGAGATAAACCGCCCAACTTCTTTCTCCATTTACCCTCAGATTTCCTGCCAGTGTTGCCTGGCCAAACCCAACTGGAAACGAGAGAGCAAGGGAGCCTGGGAGATGCAGTCTATGGTAGTCAGCCTCCTGGGAGCACAGAACAGGGAGGGGAAGAATGTGGAGTGGAACTGGATGGGAATAAATGGGCAAGAACCAGTCTCATGCCAGGCACATGGTAGGTGCTCAACACATGCTGATTGGATGACGGACTGACGGAATGGATAGATGAACAAAGAAAGCCAAAGATAAAGAGAAAGGGATATAAAAAAATGAACATTGAATAAGTTCCTACTATGGGCCAGGCATCTTACATAAATGATCTTGTTCAAATCCACGTAGAAATCCTATGAGATCCATTGCTGTCCCCACAACCTGAGCCCTCAGAGGTTAACATATCTCATTCAGGAGAAATCATGGAGCCAGGATTCCAGCTCAGGTCCTGACTCTTAACACTGTGTCACGTTAAACACACCTTGCACGTTTCCATACCTACATTAGCCCAGACTCTGCATCCCTTCCCACCGGAATGCCCTCTGGCCTGCCGAAAACCCAGCAAACCTCCGGTTCTGCTCCCACTGCTCCTCTTAGCCTGCCCTGGGTCACCACAGCCAGAAGCTCCCAGCAAACCTCCGGTTCTGCTCCCACTGCTCCTCTTCACAGCCTGCCCTGGGTCACCACAGCCAGAAGCCGTCTTTCTCTCCTCTGAATATTATACTAACTGTTATATACCATTCACATACCATCTAATTTCTTTATAATGTAATTATTGAGAGCATCTCATCTCCTTATAAGTATTTTGAAAGCTCTTGGAAGCAGGATCTGTTGTTTATTTCTTGTCATTACTTTGATAGCACTTAGTAGGTAATCAATAATTATTTGTTGGTGTGTCTATTTACTTGTATTACATGAGTCATTTTCAATGTCACTTAAGAAAAATTTACTTAAATAAGTTTGTTTTACAACTATGGTATAAAAAAACTTATTCTTTTCTCATTTAATATTGGATCTTAACTGTTTTTCTATTATACAGTCTTTGTTTTCAAAGGCAATCTAGTAGTCAATCCTACGGATATACCAAAATTTACTTCCCTATTGCTGGATATTTAAATGTATGGCTTTTCCTTACTCCTCCCCCTCAACCCCTCCTCCCTGCATACCAATGTTGTTACAAATATTTTTGGAATTGCATTTCTCTCAATGGAAACATTTCTGTAAGAGCCCATGTTTAGTTAAGACTGATTAAACACTACAGTTGTTAATTACACTAAATGGATTTAGTTTTGAGACTCTAATTTATTTTGTAATCCATTTTGGGATTGACTCTTAGGGAAGAGCCAAAATAACAGTGTCTCCTGCCATATGCAGATGTATGAATACCTAAGGGAAGCCAGTCCATCATCCATCCAGCATCCATCCATCCAGCATCCATCCATCCAGCATCCATCCAGTCCACATTGCCCAGGAGTCCTGGTGGGGACTGTGGCAGTCACCACAGGAGGTTGGTGGCCTTCTCTGAAGATGCAACTTCACCATCTTCAGTGCAGCCCTGTTTGGTGGCCAAGAAGCTGAGCACAGATGTCATCACAGCTGTTCTACCTTTGATCCAAAACCATACAGATTCCACTTATTATGCTACTGATCACCTGTCTGGATATTATAGCAGCTTTTGAGGCACCAAACTGAAATGACAACTTTCATTATTATCTAAAGTAGCAAACAGTTCTCTTTAGCATCAGCAAATTCCCAATTCTACTCCTGAAATTGCCTCAAAGCATGGAGGGGGTGTGAGAAGGGAAGTTATATAGACCGAGTATCTATTATGAATCAGAAATTTGTATTGTAGGTTATGCAAGAATAATGCATTGACTAAGAGTAGTGAAATCTGAAACCAGTTTACCGGGGTCTGGGTTCAAATCCCTGCTCCACTTTGTCATGCTTGTGTGACCAGGCAAATTTAACTTCTCTTTTTCTTACTATCTTTATCTGTACAGTGAAAGTAATAAGTACACCTCCCCTTAAGGCTATTATAAGACCTGGTTACATTCGAGGACTAGATTGGTAAAGCAAGCAGAATGCCTGGCACATATTAAGGGCTATGTGAGTGTTTGCTATTATTATTATTACTGATCTTTTTAAAACTCATTTAGTTTAGCCCTAACTGGTTTGGCTCAGTGGATAGAGCGTCAGCCTGCAGACTCAAGGGTCCCAGGTTCGATTCCGGTCAAGGGCATGTACCTTGCTTGCGGGCATATCCCCAGTGGGAGATGTGCAGGAGGCAGCTGATCGATGTTTCTCTCTCATTGATGTTTCTAACTCTCTATCCCTCTCCCTTCCTCTCTGTAAAAAATCAATAAAATATATTTAAAAAACAAACAAAACTCATTTAGTTTAGTTCTCACAACAACTGTCTGAGATAGACCAGGGATTGAAAATGATCAGCCTATGGGCTGAACTTGGTTTCCAGACATGTTTTGGCCTGCACATATTTCTTTAATCTGAGCCAACATTTTAGAATCTGGAGTTCTATATAAAAATCTGGATTCCTGGCTCTTCTTGAAAAGTCCTCATCTGGCAGCAAGCAGAGGGATCTAAGTGCTGCCGATTCTTTAGATGATGACGCACCTTGGCACCGAGCTGATACAGTGGCATGACTTCAGTGGTGAGTGAGAAAACCCGACTAATAGTTGCTTCAGGTAAGGATTTATTACCCCAGTGAAGAACTGCAAGCTAGGGTTAATACAAGTGTCACAAACATGTTGTCAAGGATGGCTGTCCCGCCACCGCTGATGTTTCTGCCTTTCCTCTCTGACATCTTCAGCATGTAGTTCCCCCTCATTTCTACCAATGCCTCCAAATGGCTCACAAGTCACATGCAGACAGATTAACGCATGTCCAGAGAGGATAGCTTGTCCTCCTGTTGGTCTTTTTTTCTTATAAAAGAAAGTCTTTTTAAAAAATGCCTACCTGACTTCCCACTGAGTCTCACAAGTGGCCAAGACCAGCTCGTATGCCAATACTCCAGTTGCTAGGAGCCTCGGAAAGCATGTCTCCCAGTTCCTGATGCCTATAGGAACGAAGAGGCAAGGCTGCTGAGCAGGCCACTGAGAAAGCCGGCACATCTCACCCAGTAGTTGCTCAAGTGCTTACAACAGCTCCCTGACTTATTTAGCTACCTGTGGGCAACTAACGTGGTGATTTCCCACTTTACAGATAAACGGGAACTCTTAGAGAAAATATAATTTACCCAAGGTGATACAACCAACAAATGCCTAGAATGTCTGCCACACAGAAAGCACTCCACAAATGATAGCTACAAATTCTCTGTCTTGTGGGAGGTTTGAGGCATGAAAATTTGGGCAGATTAAAAACAAATCAGTTTTAAGTTCTTTAGAAAGGAGCCTTAGCATAGGTTCACAATGGCATGATGTTTAGAGTTTGAAATTAAATTGGCGTATTTACTCCAACTGGATGATTAACAGCAACAAGCAATATTTATGGTGTCTTCAGGTGCACAAGTAAGATGACAATTAAGATACTTTACAGGGATGTGGGCATGACTCTCTGGGTGCTCATCTCTCAAACAACTCCGGGGGAGGGCATTGTTTGTTTTTGTATTTTTTTTAATAAGAGAAGAACATGCCCATTGTGAATGTTGCAGTCATTAAAAATTGTTGGAATTTCTTAACAGGGCTTGCATGCCAGTCCAGAAACCAAGGGGGAAAGTGGTAGGAAGTAGTAGCTATGTAGGTGATGCTGCTTCCGATTCCATACCAAAGGCAGAACCCAAATCAAGCCCCAGCAAGAGGTGTCCTGGTGGAATCTTCTTGGGTTAGCAATGACAGCAGCCGGTGCTTCTTACTGTTCTTTTTCAACTGAATCTTATGAGCTCCCTTAGAACAAGAAGGTTGGAGCCCCGTCCTTCACTAATTCCCTGCGATAACGTTTTAAAAACTCTCAGCAGCAAGTGAAGGTTTTCCCCACCTCTGATGTCTCTTTCAGTTCCCTTTACTGTTGGCATTTGCGCAGACTGGTTATTTCCCGTGCTGAATCACTTACTGACTATCTGACTATCTCCTGGGGGAGCCAAATAATTTTAAACATTCTCAGTGACTCATGTATTCTTACCAGTTCTTTTATTTTCTCTTATTTATTGATTTTAGAAAGAGAGGGAGAGAGAGAAAGGAAAACACACACATTGATTTGTTGTTCCACTTATTTATGCATTCATAACTGATTATGCATTGATTATTATATGTGCCCTAATGGGGGATTGAACCCACAACCTGGGCATATGGGGTTGACGCTCTACAACTGAGCTACCTGGCCTGGGCCCTTACCAGTTCTTTATTTTATTTTTATTTAATTTAATTATTTTTTTTAGGACACATAGTTTTCTTTATTTTTGGGGGTGGGGGTGGGAAGGGACGCCACACTTCTACTCAATTAAGAGAAACATTTTTCTCAGCATAGAATTCTTCTTTTTTTTTTGTTTTTTTTTACTTATCATGCCATGAATTCATAGGGAATGGGCTCCAGCAGCTCAGGCTCCTTTCCATGGGTTCTCACAGTGGCTTCTCTGGGTGGAGGAGGCTGACGCTTCAGTTAAACCCAGTTACCATTCTCTTTGGCTTCCTTTTTCTGATCATTTCTCTTCACACGTTTCAGGAAGCTGTCTCGGCTCTTTGAGTGCTTAATACGCTCAATACGCACATTAACTCTCTTGGCAAGAATCTTGCCCTTAACTTGCCTGTTCACAACAATGCCCACCGCATGCTGGGTGGCACTGTAGACTCTTCCATTTTTGCCCTGTGACATGTGTGGGGCCTTCCTTTTTGAACAGTGCCCGTTCCCTTGATGTCCACAAGATCACCTTCTTGTAGATTCGCATGCATGTGGCCAAAGGAACAGTTTTCTAAAAAGCCTAGAGAACATATAGCGGGGCCTCTCCTCTTTCCCTTGGTATTAGCCATTTTGGCGAATTACTGGAAGATGGCGGTTCCAACCAAAAGGCACCAGTTCTTTTATTTAATTTTTGTTGGTCTCTCTCTCTCTCTCTCTCTCTCTCTCTCTCTCTCTCTCTCACACACACACACACACACACACACACATACAAAGTAGGATGCTAAAAAGTTTCTACTTAGTCATATAATAGTGAATTTCCTTTACGCGTTTCAGGAAGCTATCTTGGCTTTAAAGTACTTAATGAAATGAAAGACTGATTATTTAACTTTTAGCCAAGTCCCAGGTTTAGCCAAGAGTGTTAAATTCAGATTTCAGCCCTACAAAGCTAAGAATTCCTTGATGAAAAAGAATGCCATATCAATACCATTTTGCCCATCAAATCAGTTGCTTTGCTACCTTCAACTGCTCTGGCATCAAATCCTGTGTCTGTAATCATACAGTAATGAGACTAACAGAGCCAGTTATACAATCCTAGTTTATTATTTTTAAAAAGCCCTGAAAGTATAGGGTGCTCAGTAGCTAAGAGAAGAAGCCTTGTGAAAGGGTCAATAGAAGTGAGAGGGACGAAGGGTGGACACTATGAGGAATACTTAGCCCAGCTGTCAGATTGTTCAACCAAAGGCTTGGCTCTTACAGCTTGAGATCATTGCTTCAGTCTTACTAGGGAGTATTTAAAGTAAAATGAGCCTCTTTCTGTTTCTCCTACAGCTGCCATGTTGTCTTAACAATG